CATCGTCATCCACATCAAGTGTTAAAGTATGAAGCATAACAATGTAGACGTACAGTACATGCAAAATAGTTTTAACAGTAATTACATTGCGTTGCCAATATACAATGTAGAAATAAAAGCAATGTAGACAATGTAAACGCGATATCGTATCAATGTTTACATTGCGATGTCGACAATGTTGTCATGTAGAAATGATAACAGTGTAGACGATGTAAACGCGATATCGTATCAACATTGCGATGTCGACGTCGACAATGTCGTCATGTAGAAATAATAACAATGTAGACGATGTAAACGCGATATCGTATCAACATTGTTTACATTGCAATGTCGACGTTGACGATGTCGTCACGTAGAAACAATTACAATGTAGACGATGTAAACACGATATCATATCAACATTGGTAACATTACGATGTCGACGTGGACAATGTTGTTATGTAAACACAATAATAATGTAGACGATGTATTCACGATATTGTATCAACATTGTTTACATTGCGATGTCGACAATATCGAATTGATTATGGGAACTGGACATGAATGTATAACTTGGCACACAAGTAGTTAACCTACAGTTAGATACATAATTCTGTATATTGGTTTCTGATTTCAATTGATGTTGCCATCAATAATTGGTAAATTATATAAATAACTAGCTTCAGAACTTTAAGTGTTTTTTGACGTGACAGCAGAGCTGATAATTTTTGGAAAAAAATTTAGAGACATGTCAATTATTTTCCATGAACTGTTATTAGAGTCTACATAATATGTCATACATTGCAAAAGAAATTCTGTTTCAAGAATTGAATATTTCAATTTTTTTTGATGAATTTATTTTGAATTAAAAATGTAAGCTTACTTGTTTTAGGGTCAGTTGGTGCGTTTGCCAATCCATGCCTTTGGAGGCATTTTGAGTGAACGTTTGGTTATATGCAAAAGTAGTAACTACTGCAGTACAATTTTTTTCAAGATTAATAGTTTTTTTAAAAATCAAAATAACAAAGAATTTATCTTTAATACGTTGATTATCAGATTATTACAAATGCAGTAAATGACGTTCAATGTTTATTATGCCTTAAAAAAGATTCAAATGCAATTTACTGCAGTATTTCAATCATATAAATAATATTTACTGGTCTAAATTCATGAAGTAAGCTGTCTGAAAACAGTTTACTAAACATTTGTAATGCAGATGCCTATAATCTTAATTTTCCTTTAAATTTTGCTTATTTTGACCTTAAGCTGACATTAAGTCAAAATTATTTTATTGAATTACCGTACAATCCCTATTAACCGCCCCGGGCGCTTAGAAAATTGCGAAAAGGGGGCGGTTATTTTGGTATTCTCTTCCTAAGATTTAATGTCATATTTTAATTTCAAAAAATCTTTTGAAAAAAAATAATAAATTCAAAGAAAACACTAAGATATGTCTAACTTTACTTTAAGCGAAGATAATCCATCCATATTATGCTAAATGATTCATTTTCCACCAAGAAATTGGATTATAGAAAGTTTCATTTTCACTTTCTTCAAATCTTGGCAGACTCGATACGATTCTAGATGATTTTAATCACTGTACAGGGGGCCGTTATTTCCTGACAATTAAAAAAGACCTAGAGGGGCACTTATACGGGCAGGGGCGGTTAATAGGGATTATACAGTATCTGTAATGGCAATTCTCTTTCCAAATATTACAATGTATGACTAGTACATTTTAAACAAGAATTTCTATGCAGCTGCAGAAATAAGGAGACAGACTAAACATGCTAAAAATAGTGTGATGACAATTATTCTTTGTGTGTTATGTGAGGGGGGTATTTTAATTTTAACACTAAATTTTTCTTGTTGATATTAGAAAGTTTTGGCCTGGGAATTGTGGAGCATGATTTAGTTATTTTTAATTGTTAAAATTTTAATAACAATACTGAATGATCATATGTGTAAAGACTAAAGAATTACTTTTAAATATTGACTACTCAAGAAACCTTGGGATGTGAGAAGCCCCAGTAAGAGGGAGGCTATCTGTGTGGGGATTGCTGTAGATTTATCTTTATCTTATCTAGGCAAGTTAGGATAGCATTTTAGAAACTGATGCATGCTGTGTAGAGCTTCATCCATTGCTTTCTACATTAACATCTATGTAGAAGTAAACAATGTCAAAGTTTTGATGAAGAATTACTAAAAGCAAGAACCTCACTGACTATCAGATTTCCTACTCGGATTTGATTTTTTACAAATTAAAAATTAAAAAAAACCAGTTTCATGATTCTCTTATTCATTCTAAAAGGTCTAGTTTTACCAAATCTGTTAAAAATTGGATCCCTTGATTTGTTTATAACTACAGAAGAAATACCGTTATAAAAGATTTAGATCTACATATATTTGGAAAAAATCCTTTTCATTAATAGATGTTGATATACTGATCATGCTGATGGACAAATTTCTTTTGAGTAGCTGATGTATATTTTGTAGGGATGGGTATCGATATCACGCAAATTATCATGCAAGCCAATTGATTGATCACATCATGAAATCGAAAAATTAGACAGTTATTCCTTAAATATATAGAATATTTGTCCAGAAAGACTTCATTTGACAAAGTTGGTTAGCTTTTTTTCTTGAGATTTTGCAGAAGGAAAAAAAAATTATTTGAATTACCAGTGATATTATTATAGTATTTGTATTAAATGATTAGATTTATATACGAGGGGTGTTAGAAAAGTTCGCGGACAAGTTCTATAGTAAGCACGCTATTTCCAAGAAACCGGTCAAACTTTCCAGATAAAATTTTAACCTATTTTCCAATAAATATACAAAAATTTAGTGCTCTCCAGTGATCATTGAAAAATATACAGCTATTTTAGTTTTATAAAACGTGCCTCACGGAGCATGCTACATTTTGGCACGTTTACATCACAATTACTCTTTATAAAAATTAAAATTTGCACAATTGTAGCGGAAAGAGATTTATGATATTTTACCTGTCGCTAGAGTGTTCATGAAACGTCACTGGGAGAAATTTTAAATTAAACTGGAGGGTATATGACTGTTTTATAGCCATTTATAAATGATCATCGCGTAAAAACACAGCCAAAAATCGGAACGTCATTGAACGTCATGGAGCACTGCACTACGTAAAAATTATGTGTGCAGACAGGAAAATGTCTAAAAGGAGACTAAAATGTTCAAGATACTGCCGGGAATTTCCTAGACATACATAAGACATTTTTTTCAAATGGCTGTAGCTTTATTAGAATGGAAGAATAAACATTTTGAATGATTAACTCCATCGATACCTCAACACCCCCTTATTACCACATGGACTTTGCGTCTATATGGTTTTGCATAGTTTTCATACCTGATCGATTAACTGCATAGATTTTTTAAAAAGATCTCGATAATATACGAATCAGTACATAGGACATTATAGTAGAAAAATTGATGTCTTGATATAGATATTCAATTTTAAAGTAGAAAAAAAGATAGGAAAAATCTGAAGAATTGAAAGATTTACAGAACTGGACAAAGTTTAATGGGTTAAAATGTGGTTGTCACGTCGCCATACGTCAAGTGATTGCTCCGTGAATCCTATGACCTAATAGTAAAAATCGTTGTAAATTTTCAAAGTTTTAGTAAATGGACCTGATTTTTTACATACTAATAAACAAAATGTAGGAATTTATTCAGACATAGGTCATACTTCACAGTACATAATAGATTTTCCGTAAATCAATGTGTCCGCGAACTTTTCTAACAACCCTCGTATTATATTTCAACATAAGGGAAACTATTAATAAAGTAATGTCAGTACAATAGTAAACTGTATACAGACATTGCAGTTAAAGATATTACAAAATTCAAAGGTTCAAAGGGCAAGATACGCTAAGACCCCTTCAGAGTATCATAGTTTAAAGTGTGTTCTGATTTTTACATCAAATAAGGGGCCTGATCTGGCCATATAAAACCATTAGAGTTGTAACAATACAGTGAAATATTGATCAAATTTATCATGTGTTTTAACGATGCACATATCGTATTGCATTCCGGAATCGTGATACCGGAAGTGGTTTTGACCATACAATAGAATTTTTTCAACTTTAAACAAAATGGCATCCAAAACAAGCATGATGGAATTTCTTTAGTAAAAAGTGATCAAATTATAAAAGTGTTCTTTTCCAAAATGTGAAGTAAATAAACTAAATTGCTATTTTACTCAAGAAGTTATACTGTTATACCAATTACACAATTTTCTGCTTTAAATTGTTAATTCAGGATTATCGAGAAACACAGTTGAATTGTGTCTTTCGTTAGTATCATGATATGTATCATATCTTGACAATACCCGCAATACTCGAGCCTAATTATCATACGTTGTCCTAATTATCATACGTTGTCCTAATTATCATACGAGTAGCCAGGGATAAGCCTCACTGAGATTTACTTTTTGTGTGTTGAAGACTTAAGCCTCATAGTTGTATCAGTTGATCACATCATTTTAGTCTTTTAAGACAGACTCATTGCTTGTAGAACAATAGCAGGCATTTATCATGATGTCCACTAGAGAATGTTGCCTCAGGTGAGGGTTATAGCCCATGGGTCTTTGTTATTTATTGCTGTTTTTGAGGGGGTTTTTTAACACAAAGATGATAGTACATAGTAACTTTTTTGATTTTAAATCATCTGAGTCCCTGACATGTTGGTACTTCAAACAATAAATTATCTGTGTATGTTATGACTGAAACATTTAGAGGTCAAGTTTTTGTCTCCTTCCTTATAGATATTACATGATCTCTTAGCTATAAATTAAAAAAGTAAGAAAAGTTAAATTAAACTAGTCTATATTTTTAATTCTTTTCTGAGTTAGGCAGGAAATGTCATCAGATAAAACACTGTAATATCTTAAAAGTTATTGTTGAACAATCACGATTTGTTATTGGAAATAGGGATACTTATTTACTAGGATACTTAATTTTTCAATATTCATTTTTTGGTTGCAGGGAGTAAAGAAATTGGAAGATGAAGCATGTGATGATGTTGATTTTATGGAAAGTTCTTAGTCTGACAATCTCCATCACAACTGCAGCGTCTGTGATAAAGGAACTAAAAAATCCAAACCCGCAAGATGAGTTTTCTCTCATGTCAAAGTATGGATCTGACATGATCATTGTAGGTGGCACAAACTATATTCATAGAGTGTTTTCTGGGAATTTAAGTTTGGAACTATCAGAGAAAATAGGACCTAAACTGGACAATCCAGACTGTCTGAACCTGGAGAAGGTAACCTGTACCAAGACCATGTATAACAGCTATGTCAAAGCTCTCCTCATCAATAAGAAAAAGGATCCACAACAAGATGAAATCATCATCTGCACAAGTCTGTTTCAAGGAAGTTGTGATAAGCGAAATGCATCTACCCTTGAATTGCTTCCAAAATCTTATGAAAATACGGTGAACCCTGTGGTGGCAAACAATAAGACTGCCACCACCGTGGCATTCCTGGCACCGGGACCACAAGATACCACAGCAATGTATGTGGGGGCGTCTTGGACAAATACAGGATTGAGAGCCATCCGGGGACTTGTACCAGCATTTAGCAGCAGGAAAATCGAGGACTTTCAATTCACACACTTTAGCATTGCGACCAAGTCTTACACTATGTTGGATGAAATTAATAGAGACTCCTTTCCTATTCGTTACATTTATGGGTTTGCATCGGGAAATTTTAGTTATGTTGGAACAATTCAGAAAACCAGTGTTGCTGCTGAGGGTTATATTTCTAAATTGATTAGGGTGTGTCTGTTTGATAAAGACTTTTACTCCTATGCAGAAACTGCTTTAGAATGTGTTCATAATGGAAAGACTTACAATTTGCTGCAAACAGCTTATGTAAGCAAACCTGGTATTCATTTGGCTGCAGCTCTACAGATTCCAGAAGATGAAGATGTATTATTTGGAATGTTTGGACATGGAAACCCAAATGACGTCATAAAAAGCAACGGAGAATCTGTATTGTGTATCTATCCAATGCGTAATGTGAAGCAAGTATTCACTCGAAACATAAGGACTTGTTTTGAGGGCATTGGCAGAACTGGACCTGACCATATTGCTACTCCCAATAACTGTCAGAAAACGGTATGTATATAGCAGCATAACAGCCATTACTCATAATAGAGTTTTATATAAAACTGTAAGACAAGGAATCAGTTTCAAATTTTTAATTTGGCTTTTGGGAACTACTCGGCATCTAAAGAGTAGAAATATAAGCATCTATGTTAGTCAAAGAGACTAATAATTTGAAGGGTAAAAGAGTTTTGTGGAATGTAGCAATCTTTATGTCCCCATAGATTATTAGGCCATTGTGGCCCATGAACCTTTTTTTCGGTAATTTCCAAACTCCCCCCAAAATATAGGCTTATCACCTTGTTTGCTGACAATCTTTACAATCTAGACATATCTTGACTAATTTCAAGTCTACTTAATTGTTTTCTTTTTAAGCAGACTTTAAACATAGGAGATGACTATTGTGGACAATATGATTTCAACAATCCAATCAGTGGTCCAGAGGCCGTCAGGGCTGACATAGCCATCAGTATTAACGCCACAGCTTCCTCACTCATAGTCACTACAACAAACGCCGGATACACAGTCGCTTTTGTTGGTACCAAAACAGGGCATATAAAGAAGGTAAGATACACTTAGTCATTCTGTTAATACCTAATGGTTCATTGTCCATGTTGCCAGCCACTGTCGAACAAGCTCTCGTAAATAGTGATGTGCTTTAACACATATACTGAAGATGTCTTAGCAAAACTTGCATTCATCCCACAAAAAAATAAAGAAAAGGAACAGTTAAATAGCAAAATGACAAATACCAATAAGATGTAGTAGAAGTAAATTGACAGGCCCAATCATAACACATCATGAAGTTCATCTTTGAAATTCTAAAACATTGAATATCTTGGAATATTTTGACAATCCTGCCGATAGTGATACCCAATTTATCTTTATACTGGTATATTACAGTTATTTTTAGAATTAACCGACAGTCTCAATATTTTGTAGATTGCTGTTGAGTCTGGTAATATTGCTAAGGAGTACAATGTTAAAATTAATTTTTTTATTTCTATTTTCAATAGAAATGGAGTATTTACTAATTTAAATCATATTAAAGCAACGGTGGTGGAATCAGGATCACTCATTCATAAGGACATGTTTTTTGATGATGACAAAAGACATCTCTTTGTTTTGACACCAAAGAAGGTAAATAGATAGGTTTAATCATTCTTTAAAGGGGGGTCATTAAAAATGATTACATTCTTCGATTTTGGGTATTCTCATTCACCAAATCATAATTGGCCTGATTGGACCTAGGTTAGTAACATACATACTATGAACAATCATTAATTTGTTTTAAAAGGGAGTTAGTTTTTATTTATAAATCTTAAGTTCTTATCCAAAGAAAACTGCATGTCTGTTATTCTATATATGTCTTAGTGTGATGATTCTTTTATTGTACTACACATTACAGCTACTGAAACTGGTGGTCCAGAGCTGCAGTCAATATATAACCTGTGAGGAATGTAGGGGGGCTAAGGACCCATACTGTGGATGGTGCTCACTAGCTAACAAGTAAGACTTATTTTATACCCATTTCATTTTTTTTCAAAGGAAGTAAAGAATTGGTATTGTCAACATAGGAGATGGTTATCTTTTGAAAGTTTTACCATATCTTTTTGGAAACCAAGCATTGACCATTTCATTTGTAAATTCTAGCCTTCCAACAGTAAAACCAGGTTTCAATCAATCATATATAAATTCTGTGTACTATTATACAAAAAGAAGACTGAAGTCTGATTAATCTGTTAATGAAAAGGAGAAATAACCTTTCACTTCAAATGTAGGAACAGGCTTTGAGTACAGCAGACACAGGCACTGTCACTGTGAACAGAGAAAATCTATTTTAGCTCACCTGAGCTGATTAAGTCTGTGTGATGATTGTAGTGTGTGATATGTTTGGTCTTACCTCTTAACTCTTCTTTAAACTCCTTTCTTAAACTCTTTACTTATAAATTTTAAGATGTTCTTTTTATACTCTGCCATATCAAGGCCAAAGCACAATGCATTGGGACATTGTCTGTATGTCTGCGCATCTTTCTGTCAGTTTGGGAGAATTCTCAAATTAGTCACTTGGGTATAAAATGGTTGGACTGTTTGAAATATATCTCACACTTGAATATAAATTTATGAATATTGTAATAAACACACAGTTCTTGCTAAAATGTGGTATTTCTGAAGTCAAGAGTTCCAGTTCCAGCAAAGGATAAGACTATGATCTATTTAGTTTTAAAATGACATATAACTTTCAACACTATATTTTCATTATATACAACTGATATATAGAAAGTAATTATTTATAGAGCAAAAACATGTAATGTTGATAGGTGACTGTCAAGGCCCATGGACCTCTTGTAATGATGTTATACGTTCGCTCTGTTTTGCAAAGAGATATATCTTAATACGAGGTACCGGGTAATGCCTATAAATCAACAAAAGTTAATTCCCCCCCCAATTATATTAATGAAAATTATTTAAAGTTCATAATAGAAATTAAGATATATCTTTGAATTATATAGATATTTAATCTTGTCTTCAAAATAATAGATTGTTAAACAGTTTGCCATTGAAGTGTACTCTTCAGCAGTTTATATGAGTTTATACCAGTAGATGTTGACAGGGAATACAAGTGAATTTATTGGATATTTTTCAGGTGTACATTAGCACAGGAATGTTCAGATTACAGTTCTCCCTTGAAATGGATGGGTTACAATGGGGAGAGTTGTACAAAAATTACACAAGTTTACCCAGATAAAATCCAGAAAGACAACAAATTAACAAAGACTACCACTGTAAGTTGTAGACAGTAATGATGTACACTTTTAGTACACTGTGACATTCAAATAATGAGCATATTTTGTTTGACATTTTACCTTTGAGAGAGAACTTTTTATTTCAGCTTACGTTAAATATTTCCAATCTTCCAACCTATAATGGATCGTACAAGTGTGCCTTTGAAGGCTATGACAAGAAGATAGAGACTGCCGCGACTAGGAGTAGTGCTAACGTTGTGAAATGTGACACTCCCATGCCTAATGAATTGCCACCATTTCCAACGGGAACAGGTATAAAGTCTGACTAGTATAATGATCCAAATACATTGATAGCAGATGTCAATGCTGTGCTGGCTTCATTAAGTCACTGCAAAGCATTTGAATTATGATACACAATTAACCAATCATCAATCTGCTTTTTATATATCAAACCTATTATGAATCAGACAAGGAGGTCTAAGAGTGAGAATATAGACAGAGATTACAGAACCATTTCTTAGAAATCGGTCCTACTAAACAGAGTAGGATAGAGTACTTTAGAGGATGCTAGTAAAATTTTTAATTTAATGCAATTAAACTACTTTTTGTATGTTTTTCTACTTAAGTTTAACATAATGAAAACACATTTCAAATGAAAAAGCATGTGTTTTCATTATCTTAGGAGTTATTATACCCCCCGCAAACGAAGTTTGGGGGGGTATATAGGAATCACCTTGTCCGTCTGTCTGTCTGTCCGTCTGTCTGTCTGTCCGTCTGTCTGTCTGTCCGTCTGTCTGTGCAATCGTGTCCGGTCCATATCTTTCTTACAGAGGGACATTAGAATCTACTACTCCACACTAAGATTGCTCATAACCTAAGGGTGTGTCATGACCTTGACCCAAGGTCATTTGGGGAAGTTCAAGGTCACTGGAAGAAAAATTTCATAATTTTCCATATCTTTCTTATGGATAAACTTGGTAGGTTCTCATTTCACACAAAGATTGCCCATGACCCAAGGGTGTGTCATGACCTTGAACCAAGGTCATTTGGGGAAGTTCAAGGTCACTGGGAGAAAAATTTCAAAATTCATGTTTGACACATATCTTTTATGGATAAAGTTGGTAGGTTCTCATTTCACACAAAGATTGCCCATGACCCAAGGGTGTGTCATGACCTTGACCCAAGGTCATTTGGGGAAGTTCAAGGTCAATGGAAGAAAAATTTCATAATTTGTGTCCGGTCTATATCTTTCTTATGGATAAACTTGGTAGGTTCTCATTTCACACAAAGATTGTCCATGACCCAAGGGTGTGTCATGATCTTGACCAAAGGTCATTTGGAGAAGTTCAAGGTCACTGGTAGAAAAATTTCATAATTCGTGTCCGGTCCATATCTTTCTTAAGGATAAACTTGATAGGTTTTCATTTCACACAAAGATTGCCCATGACCCAAGGGTGTGTCATGATCTTGACCCAAGGTCATGTGGGGAAGTTCAAGGTCACTGGAATAAAATTATCATAATAGTGTCCTGTCCATATCTTTCTTATTGATAAACTTGGTAGGTTCTCATTTCACTCAAAGATTGTCCATGACCCAAGGGTGTGTCATGACCTTGACCCAAGGTCATGTGGGGAAGTTCAAGATCACTTGAAGAAAAATTTTATAATTCGTGTTTGATACATATGTTTATTATGCAAAAACTTACTTCTGAAAAACCCAGCGGGGGGTATTTTGTCCCGATTGGACAGTTCTAGTTTCAATTTTGTATTTCAGGTTACGGTTTATCATTTGATCCCGATCCCGAACAATTTTAACTTGAAATGTTTCAATGTTAATGGGGAAAAATATTTACGTAATGCAATTAATTTAATTTTTGATAAATAAAACATGTAAAATTTAGTTGAAATTAGTAAGTGATCTGAATCAAAATAGCAACCCAGATCGGGATGTTAACAATCTTTAATGCAATGATTGATTGAATTATGACTGTTGTTTTCTTGTCAAAATATCGCTAAAAAACTAATATTTGAGACAAATATTGCAATATTATTTTATAATGATTTTAAATCAAGTTGTATATACATGAATAAAAAGTCTAATTGTATTAAATTTCACAATTTTTCTAGCGTACTCTAAAGTACTCTATCGTACTCTAGCGTACTCTGTTTAGTAGTACCCCTTGGAAATGAAACGTATTTGTCATTTTGACAATCCAAAAATTTCCTTTATTATTATTTTTTGACGGTGTTTTATCTGTTGTGCCAAATGACACTATAATCTTGAAGAGTGTAGTGTACATTTGTATTCTGTGGGAAGTGGAATGACACATCACAGAAGCTGTCAGAGGTCACCTCATTGAGGCAGTAGAGCTCCCTAGAGCGCAAGGAAACCTCATATGCATGCAAGAGATATTTGTTACAAAATGACTTGATGCCTAGAATTGATCACAATCAGTAATGTTTGTCCTGATTAATGATAATTTAATGGAGTATGACTCAGATTGAATATTGTATCAGATAACTTGGCCACTAAGTTTAATATTGTAAAGCACATGCTGTTTTCACAGCAAAATATCAAATATGCAGAATACATTAACATATAAATGGAACCATGTGATTGTTGTAAAACACTGACTTTGACGGCAGGTTTGTAATCTGATTTAAGTATTGTTTTTTTTTTCTAGATCACATTACCATGAGGCTGTCAGTTGTCATCATGGAACTAAACTTTGTGTCCGCCAACTTCACATTTTTTGATTGTGAAGTACATACCAAACACTCGTAAGTTTTTACACCATGAATGTGTTGATTCAAAAAGCTTCTCTGTGAGAGAGATATTGAACAGAGATTTTTAGCTCACCTTAACCAAAGTTAAAGTGAGCTTTTCCAATTGAAGAGTTCAATAGATCAAAGGCCAAGGTCATGTGAAATGGTTTCCAGATGGTTTCATAATTTATAGAACAGTGTATTTGAGCTTTGAAACTTAATAATAATTCTATCCAACTTCAAAGAGACACTATTTCCCATTTCCCATTTACAGAATAAATGTTTACAATTATTGTCTTTTATGGTGAGATATTTTATACAGTACATGAAATTTCCATTCACACATTTTAAACAGTATATGAAATTCCACTTAGACATTTTATACAGTATTTGAAATTCCATGTAGACATTATATACTCGCCTATAAGTTGGTCCGCCTATAAGTCAGTTGTATTTTTGCGGGTAATATTAAAAGGATTGACCTTTTAAAATACCAGTCTTTTTATAACTCACATATAAGTCGGACATAGAGTTTGGACCAACTCTTAAATCCCAAAAATCCGACTTATAGGCGAGTATATACGGTATATGAAATTCCATTCAGACAGACAACAGGACTGACAAACTATAAGGGAAATGAATATCCAAGAATAATTTCTGATCCTGCATGTGCATGAAGCAAACTATGCATTGTAAAATTCCTGACACATGGATCTATAGTCCTGTCATCTTTCAGTCTTCATGAAAAAGAAAAATCACAGGACATTCGTACAGACAGTAAAACAATATCACAGGACCAAACAAATTTTCTTAGGTCCAAAACTTTTATCATATAACAATTATAACAATGTTTCTTTATATCATATGAATCAATAAACAAATAACACATTAAAAAATAACTGAAATGTTCCTTTTTCTTCCCTGGTACCGTCCTGTTGAAATATTTTAGAAACATGGTGGTGGAAGTAGGTTTTAAAATAAACACAATCGACAAAACATTTTTAATAATGTGTTTTGGTATTAGTGAAAGCTTCTATATGATGAAATAGAAAATACCAAATTTAAAACAACTAAAACAAACCTCTGAAAAAGGGACCAATTTTACTAGTTCGTGCATCGGACCAATAAGATTTTCACCTGTTTTGTCCAACAGACCTGTGCTTTTGGGATAGACTGTATCTTTTTTGAAAAAAATATAATTAGTTGACTGTCTCAATTGCCTCTTGTAGTACTAAATAAACTTAAGTCAAAATAATGACCTCAGTGCAAACAAGGCTCTGGGGCCATAAAACTGAGACAAACTTATTTTTGATCTCAGTCTCACTTTTCAAAAGGTATTAATAGTGGAAAAGTGAGATGAAAAAGTGAGACTTAAGAAGTAGATCAAGATAATGAGTTAGTTTTTGATGATCTAAATATAATTTATTATAGATGCTATAGATGTACTTCAAGCAGTTTCAACTGTACTTGGTGCATCAAAAACCACCTGTGTACTCACCATCCTGTGATAGACTGCAGCTCTAATGATGACTTCATATCAGGACAAAATGTAAGTGGCTCTATCTACATAATCTGTATCATCAAAAACAACATACGAGGGTTGATTTAAAAGTAATGTCACAGTGTCCATGTCTTTTGTATTTGGTGTCATATTGTTAAATACAATATACCAAAATACGAGGGCCGTTCAAAAATTACGTGGACTTGTTGCACAGAAAAAATATTTGACGACATAATTGGGCAAAATTTCACACATAATATAAGAGAATCTATTCTTATATGGTCTTCAAAATTTCATATCAAAATGTTGTAAATTGGTATCAATTTTGAGTGATTTATCAGGACATATCATTAAGTCACGGAGCAGCAAAATCATTGACGTCACAGGCATTATAAAAAACGTGTTTGAGCTTTCATTTTCTCATTTTTTCCCAGGCGTACCTGTACAGTTTGAGTTACCTTATCTATTCAACATCCAAACACCATTTCTTGTCAAGCTTCAAGTCTATTAAATAAGTAAAGAATATTCTTTTTTTGTTTTAAAACCAAAAAACTGCAGGTATTTATGAGATATAGTGTGATATTGGTGACTCTCAATCACGTTCTTTACAGTCCGGATAAAGTTTTCGTCGATGATCTTCTTCCCGTCCTCCCATATAGCCTTTTTACAGAGGTCTAACGGTTTAAAATTTCAATTTGCTTTTTATGGACGAATGTCACGAATACCCTAGTTTACTACATCTTTTATTATGCATATTTTGGATCTATGTTGGCGATATCTAGAGCATTACACATAATTGAACAAAGATGTGGTGCGCCGTCAGTTCAGGAGACGTCATTTTCACAGTCGTTTTCAGGGGAATCCCATCGGAGAAAAATAACTATATTTCTGTTAGTACTTCAAATTTCACGTCAGAAATCTAAATACATAATAATAGGACAATTTAAAGATACATTTGAGAAAATTGTCAAAAAATATCGAGAATTATAGGAAAATAATGAGTTGAATTTTGGATTCTGCATGCTTTTGCTTCAAGTTTTTTGTCGTGCTCCGTACCTCTCCATCAGCGATATCAACATAACTATTATTTTTGTAGGATCTTTTTAAAATACAGAAATTTTGCCCAAAATTAATTGGAATCTTTAAGATACATGTTTCTGTGAAATTTCATAACTATATGACCTCTGTAAGAGTAAATAATAGCACAGTCCGCGTAATTTTTGAACGGCCCTCGTATGCACATATATAAATCTAATAACATCGAAACTTTTGTGTAATAATGTTTAATTAATTTTATAGATGTTTAAAGAATAAAGTGTAGGGGGTGTCGCTGCATCGCAGCTTAATGTCATGTTTCAAAGATTATTTTTTTAAGATGAAAAAGAAAAACACATTAAAAAAATTGAAAATGTGTCTTGTCCCCCAGAAGTTTTAAAAGACAAAATTAACTAACATGATTTTCTAATGATCAGTTAAGATTAAATGATGCCATTGTTATTTTTGATTTAAAAAATTGTGTTTGACTCTGATGCATTGAACAAAGGAAGTGTCAAAATGGGGGAAAATGCTGTAACGATGTGTAATGCATTTTGCATTTTTACTTCAAAATGGGGAAATTACCAGTATAGACAATTCCACTGATTGATAAGACTCACAATGATAAAAAAGTAAAGAAGAGTCTTGTTTATACATATATGTAGATGATTTTAGGGAGTGTAATAGTCATTGAATTCTTATCAGAAAGCAGGAAGACTGAAAGAAAGAGAGGTCGGAAGGAAACGTTTAACATGGTGTCTGATGTCAAAAGACATCCATGTATCTGTTATGTAAATGGAAGGACACTGTCTTATTATACTGTTCAAGGAATTTTGACAAGGGACTTTGTTATTAAAAGAGTGAATGTACAATGGCTACCAAGAATTCATTAAGAACAGAAATTTCTGAACGTATTCGAGAATCTCAAATATTTTTATTGGAAAACCATTTTAAGTATGACAGCGTGTATCCATATCATGATATTATTTAGAAGCGGTGACTACAAAATGCATGCATTGTATATAATTCTATATTTTTAAAAGTATTATTTACTTTGAATAAAAATTTTCAGGTCTGATTTGAAATAAATGAAGCTTCCATCATTTGTAATTTTGTTGTTGTACATCCACTTTTAGCAATTTTATTAAGGAATGAATTTAATAGCTACCCATTTTATACGGTATAAACTGGGTTGGTGCAATTTACGCTTTATAAACCGCGAAGCGGTTTATAAAAAAGCGTAAACTGTTCCAACCCAGTTTATACCGTATAAAATGGGTAGCTATTAAATTCATTGCTTATAATTTAATTTTCATTCATTTGATGTAAGAAAAAAAGATCATTGTTCTAACAAAGTGACTTCAGTTTGTACAAAATTTGAATGTAACGTCAGGCGGATTGATACGTTTTTGACGCAAGTCATTGTGACGTAGGCAACCCATTTTATACGATATGAAATAATTTTTTATCCAATCAAATACAGCGTTACAACCAAAATTAAATTATTTGAAGTTGTGACATTACTTTTTGATCAACCCTCGTATTTATTCTGAGTAACCTTATTATTCTGGTTACCTGCAGTTCACATTTCACACAAAAATTGCTTATGTCTGATGGTTATTCTTTACATTGACTAAAGTTTAATCTGGGGAGTTTGATGTCACAGTCTGGCCAAAAAAAGGTTAATTTTTCCAGTTCATTACACTCAAATGGATAAAAAAAACTGAGTTGAAACTTGAAATAAAAAATAATTCTGAGCTAAACATATGTTATTGTTATGAATAGCTTTCTATATATTTGTTACTAATAAAAGTCCAACAAAAGAAATGTTTATGACATCGGTCTAACAATTTCACTGTTTTCTGGCCTGCAGGTCCAACATAAGAATTGTTAGACCGCAACGTCACTGCTACGTCACAAGTAATTGAGTAGTAAATAGTAAATCATATTGTTCAATATCGGCGACACGGAAATAGCCGACGTTAAGAGCTGCAAGACTTGTTGCTACCAGCAAGGTAATTAAGAAAGAATGGAAAAGTATGTTTTCAGATGAATAACTTTTGTGATATAATAAAAATATAATTAATTTTGTTCTTTTTCAGGTATTGTTTTATTTTTACTGATTAAGCCATAATTTTCCATATAAAGTAATTGATAATATAGTGTGTATTGATTAAATCTTAAGTGAGCACTGAAAAGTATAACAAAACAGTTATAGACTGGGATTCGGGCAACATATGATTTGTTGGACTTGAAGGTGAAAATGTTGCCCTTAATTGGCCTGCAGCCTCGGGCAACATTTTCACCTTCAGGTCCAACAAATCATATGTTGCCCTCATACCCAGTCAATAACTGTATATTATTATACCTCATTTTAAATATTCTAAACAACGCGTTTTCTGATTGGTTCTAAGTTATCACGTGATCGGGCCGTAGAACTTCATATTTCCCGGCCGTCTGCATGCTTTTCATCATATTCAACCTCTTCGGATACTTAGTGCATTTTCCCTCAATAATTATTGTTCGTTTAAAGAAAACTCCCGAGAGTATAGAAGACGTCACAATAACCTGGTTTACATCATAAAATTGATGATAATATGTTGAACCAAAGAGTTTTAGTAACGTTTTGTTAAAAATAAAAGTGAATTTGAGAGCGGTGCCAAAATGGAAAGTTTATGTTTATTTCAAAGGTTTTGCTTGTTTCGGTATAATAAACAATTCAGTGCATGAATGTTCGGGAAACATGAAGACTTATTCAGTGAATAATGAATAAGTCTTCATATTTCCCTCACTATCATGCAATAAATGTATATTACCATGACCTTTAAGTCATTGTGGAAGTTCAAGGTCACTGCAAGAAAAAGTAGGAAAATCTTAATCTGGTCTGTAATTTCACTAATTTGCTAATGGAAAAACATAAGTGCATAATTCATATGCACAAATATGAGATCTATATTTCAATAAAACCACCCTTGACCAGAGGTTTTTTCTATCTAAGGTCATTTTGGCAAGTTCACATTTAGAAATTTGTATATTTATTTGGTACTTTTGTAGCAGGGAAAATAATTTTGTGAGCTTGCTTACAATTCATCTACTTTGCACTCTAAAATACACTGCCAAATTTAGAAATAACAAGAGGTACTGTGAGCAATGAGCTCACCAAATGATTCACCCTGCCTCCCATATGAATATAATGGCAGTGTTCATGTTTTGCTATGGGAAACCCGAAATATGTGTCGGATCTGACGGATCAAAAAGTAAAATACAAAAAATCTATATTTTAGCAAGCACCCACATACTTTGTAGAGGTGAATTAGTTAAAACCATGGCAACAAAGGAAACCCTAATTTTTAGATAAAATTTGTGGAAAGATTTATAAAAATCCATTTCACAAGAAATCAAATATCTGTTAATAATTATCAAATTAATCTTGAGGCAAACTAATGCAGATTTGAACCAAAACTTTGCATATCAATACTCCCTGGGGCTGAATGGAGAGGGATTCATTGATTTATATTATATTGTATAGGAAATTAAAAAGCAATAATGATTTGCTCAACAAGACTCTAATTTGACAAAATAATATGATAATCTTTTGTTGATTAAAAGGGGTTCACATCATTACTTGCTGGGCCAAGAAACTAGTTATTTTTACAGAGAAATAATAAGAAATTTAAAAAAATGATTTGTCAGATAGAAAACGACATCTGGAGTGATTTATGATGATTTGTTTTCAAACTAAATCACTGTGTGAATTTCAAAGATAACATGCATTCTAAGAGTATAGCAAAAAACAATACTAGTAGACCAGTGGTTTTGTGCAATCTGGTTCCCTAAAAATTAAAATGCCTGTAACAATTCAAAATGTAAACTTGATCTGTTACTAATTAAGGTAGCCCCCCCCTCCCCCAATCAGCTTTATATCTGCAAGCCTATTAATAGAAGAAAAAAATGATGAAAACCAAGTGGAGAAAACAGACAATGAAAAATGTACCATGTTCAAACTTCTTTTTTTCATTTTTTGCATTTGTGAATTTGAAAGCTATTTTTGTGGCTGAGAAATTAATCAATTCAAGTATAACAGTATAATTACCATTTTGTAATCTCTGAATTTTTAATCCTATTATAGCATATAATTTTCCAGCTCCAAGACACTAAAGAGTTTTGAACTACCAGGTACTCAGTGGTGTATATGTGCAGATCTTTCACCATGATTTTGAAATATAAAAGTAAAATAAGTTAATGCCCAAGAGTGTACCAATGCTGTGTTAATTTTTGATTTTTTTTACAGAGTGCTGGAATATCGATACCTCATGAAAGTGGACCAAACTTTTGTCCCAGTATTGACCCCAGCAAACAGCAGAACATATTAGTGCCATCAGGAATAGAGAAGACCATCACTCTAAATCTAATCAAGTTAAAAGTAACCACCACTAAATCTAATATACTCTACAATGAACTTAAGTTTAATATTTAATATATATCTACTTACAATTAATGAACTTAACAATCTGTTTTAAAAGGTAAAATACTCATTGCACTTGTAATTTTAGGGGCGTTAGCTTAATTTCGTGAAAATCCACCTTCGGGTTACTTAAATTATTTGTTTTCACTGAACATCTTTTAAGGTCTGTTATGATTAAATAATTTGGTAATTTTGTCAATTCTCCGAGAAGCCGTAATTTCTCGGGAATAGAGACAGTTGATATTACACGCGCGACTGTTGATATGGTTGTGTTTCTTACATGCCAAATTGAATACACGGCAAAGGCTAAAAAATGATGTCCATCATTGCACCAAACTACAAAATATACCGTCCCGTGATTCTATAAAATCTAGGATCGAAAAGTATACGAAAATCGTAAATTTGTGTTAGAACTTGGTTTCAAGCAAACTGTACGCCTGATATATACAATGTACCTTGACGTCAAATCAAAGAGTTACATTACATCATGAACCACTTGATTTCCTGTGTTTCTGATTAAATTGAACTTAAATAAATGTTGTATTAAAAAAAAATTGTTGTGCATTATTTTACTGTAAACCTCCTATCAGAGCAATACAATACAATGTTTTACATTCATCAATTTACTTGTTCATATTTATTTACACTTTTACCGAGTACCCGGGTACTCGATCGGAAAAACGTCCGAGTAACCGAGTATTAAAAATTGACCGATTTGACATCCCTAATATTTAATATATATCTACTTACAATTAAGCATCTTTGTAATTTTGGCTTAGCTTATTCAAAATCCAGGTTACTGGAGGAAAAAAGCATAAAGTGAAGCAACATTCTCATTTTGTCAACTTGTTTACAATATCTTACGAGTTCAATTTCATCTGTGATTTCTTTATCTTGGTATAAAAAAAATTTGTGTTCTGAATCAATACATAAATTCAGTCAAATAGATAGATTTGACATTCCTCTCTTCTGATAATTTGTGTTTACAGTCGTATCAGAGGCCCATCAGGTGTGCTTTTGCCTTCAACTCTCAGACTGAGCCTCAGGGAGAGATCGCAGAAGTGTTTGTCATGCCAGTGGTTGTGATGATCAGGTGTAAAAAGACCAAGGTAACCCCACTCTTACTGAGTATCCTACTGTATACTGTGTCCATGTCATTACCACTACATTTCTAAAACAGTCATAACTGCTTACATACTTGTTGCCACAAAATAAAGTGTACAATACTGCTACATTTAAAAGTTTACAATACTTGCTTCATTGCCTCTTTTGTTAGCCAGCACTTTTTGCATGTACAGAGTGAAATTTAGGTACAACTTATAAATACATTCCTGAGACTTGTTTCCCCTGGTGATGTTGTATTCCATATGACCATACCAGATTACTTCCCATTCCACTGATTTAAGATAAAACATTTATTTTTTTTTCCAGTTTTTTTATCCAGGGGATTCCGAGAGTTACAATGTGCCTATGAAGATCCTATGGGGTGACAAGTATCCCAAGCCTCTGGACAATCCCCATAATGTACAAGGTAGATAAAGGAGAGCTTCGGCAGAGATTTCGGGCATCTTGAAATGCCTTCACTTCTCTGATGATTGCATGAATATAAATTATTAATCATTTTGATTCACCAAAAAATTATGATTTTTAACTTTGCTGCTAACTTTTAAATGGATGGTGTTAGGGATTTAAATCTTAGCAACATTTTTTGGGGGGCTCTAATATATTTGACCTCTTAACCTTGACCCAAAATCGGGCAATTTAAGTTTCCTACATTGGTTAAAAAACCATTAAAATGTTAATTAATTGTTCTACAGTAAAGACAAAACCAACAGTTATTAAACTAAATTTAATTGATTTTCTTTGTGCATACTGTGTACAGTTTGTGATATTATGAATTTCGAGATATAAATTGGAAAGTTTAGGGGGTTTCCTGTGTATGGAACCCAAGTCAGAGAGATTGATGGCCCTGCTAAAGTATGACCTACTTTTGAGAAACTTAATCTAATATTTGATTGCTCGGTGCCAGGGCTTTCATTTTTCACTTGTGTATTTTTGTGGCAAAACCATTATTTCTGAAATTTTTTTTCAACTATTGACCTTGGAACTTAACCTATAATTGAAAACTTTAAACTTGGCTATGAGGTGTCATCTGGGGGCTTTACTTTAGTGTTTCACAAATGCATCTTGCTTTTTTTCAAACAAATTAAGATTTAAAATAATGCTAGTAGCAAATAAAAGCTGATCCCCTTTAGATTACTTTCAATCTATAATGATGCTGATAAACAATTGAAGTGCAATCTGTGGAACACTGTTGATATCACAATGTCTATTTGAATTCCAGTTATCATGTACAAATGTGAGAATATGGCTGATTCATGTGGGGAATGTCTAACCCAAAAAGAAGAATACACCTGTGGATGGTGTAAAAAGACCAATCAGTGCAGCCTACAGTCTTCATGTGTGTCTCCAAATAGTAGCTGGTTACCTAACACCTCCAACTGTCCAAATCCCATCATAACCAGGGTACGTATGTCACACGATATAACTCCAACTGTCCTAACCCCATCATAACCAGGGTACGTATGTCACATGATTAACCTCCAACTGTCCTAAACCCATAATAACCGAGGTACGTACTTCACACAATGTTACACGAACTAGTTAACCCAAAACTCAGACGGCCTAATTAGTATGTTAACAAAACTATTAAGAATTGCATTTAATGATAAGTTTAAGTGAACACTTATAATTTATTTATTTGTACTTCTGTCCTCGTAATTAACTACGATTTCACCTCCTCATTGTGCACAATAAAGGGGATACTCATTTTCTAAATGCATCTTACTTATAAACTCTGAGAGAAATTCAGTGGAACTTTCACAGAATATTATTTTGACCAAAGTTCTTGTTTTGTTTAAAGAATGGGTGAACGCCCTATTTTGGATCTTTTTGCGACTCCTCTACCAAGCTGTAAATGAAGTTAATCCAAAATATATTACGAGCAATGGAAAGAGCTACATATACTTGGTTATTTTAGGTGGAACATTTATGCAAAAACAATGCCCTGTTGTCATGTATCAAAATTGAAGCAACGATACATAAGTGTTGTTTTCCGGAATTCAGCATGTACCCGGAGTGGTTTTTATGTCACACAATCAATATTTATAGGAGGCGGTTCTATCGATCGGCGTCATTGTTGACATCTCTCTCTCTCTATCCCTCTCTCTCTCTCCAAAAATTCGAATACGTGTTTAGCATAATTCAGCGATTTCTATATGAAATTATTTTAAAAATGTGATGACACACAAAATTTAATCAATATTTAATTTGCCAAAGTCTGAAAACGGCAACAAAACACGCTCAAAGACATGATTTAGATCGAGGTCAGGTTGAAGAATACAGTGTATCTGTTTTCATGAGTACACTCGCAGGTGGACATCACGTGATGAATTGTAATATTTAACAGGTCAATCGAAGACATAACAATGGAAGCGAGAACTTTGTTCGGAACATGTTTTTTGTTAAATTAAGTATCAGCACACGTTTGTCGGCTCTTCTCCTTTTAATATAACATTATTTTGTTCAATATACAACTACAGTTTTCTTAAGAACAGCCGACAAACATGTGCTGACTATGTATTCAGACGATGAAAAATGTGTGACCATTATTATCTATTGATATTCAAGAAATCTTCAGGTACCATGCCTTCGATATTTATTAAGTTTACCCTGAAAAGAGCGCTTTAAATTCACATCCGTACCATGAATACACGGTTAAGATATCGGGGGTTTATATTATGGAAAAAAATAAACATTTTATGAAACTTAAATTTACGGCATTTTTTCTGGCCAGTTAAGTCCACCCATTTCCACACATCAAATGAATCAAATTAGGGATAATGTCTTACCCACTCATTCTGTAATTGCAGTGTACTTCAGATGGCCGTGTAGAGTAGTGTATTTAAACATAATGATTGTAAGGAGGTGTTTTACTTTTGTCAGATTTATCCACTTACTGGGCCTAAAGAAGGTGGGACCCTGCTGACTATAGAGGGCAGAGACCTGGGCAAATCCTATGAAGACATTGTGAGCAATGTAGACATAGCAGGAGTTCAGTGCTCTCCTATCCGCAAAGAATATGTGGAATCCAAAAAGTAAGTCTTGTCTAATCCCTCCCTATAACAAAGTAAAGCCAGATTAGATTTGTAATGATGTTTTCTGTTTGGACAGGATTGTTTGTACAACTGGTCAATTTATTGGGAAGGAGGAGAGATCAGACAAAGTGAGAGTCACTGTAGCATTAAAACTGACAGCTGTGTCCAAACAACACTTTACTTACGTGGTAAGTACTCTCTAACATCCATACACTTCAAATCCCTGCAGTATGATTTATAGTAGATTATATGAAAATGACTATGAAATTAACGGCTTCGAAGAATAATTGAACATTGGGTGACTAAATTATGGAACTTGCAGTGCCTGAAAAGCAGATTACATAGTACTGCAAGTTGAAAAGAAATAGATATGTCATCCAAAAATAAATAAGTATTGGCATGCTTTTTTGTAACAGAAAGATTTCTTTCCAGGACCCAGAAATTACAGATATTACACCAGCTCAAGGCCCCAAGTCAGGTGGAACCCAGGTCACTATATTTGGAAAGAATTTAGATTGTGGGACTGAAAGAAAGGCATACTTTGGTCGCACTGAATATGAATGCAGGCTTGATAATAAAAGGTACACAAGTATTCAAACACATTTGTTTTCTGAAAAATATTAAGTGAAAGCTAATCAGATTGTTGCAGTAGTTATATGTTATTTTCGGGATCTAATTATAGTGTCACAAGATCACGGATAACCTGTAAAACAGCTCGTGCCAATAAGACACTGGTTACAGAGGAGCTGTACATGATGTTTGATAATCAGCTGGTTAAGAGTGATCTTGTCTACAAATATGTGGAGGATCCTAATGTTACAGAGGTGGACAGGAAAGTCTCCATTGTCAGGTAAGACTTCTCACTGCATGGGCTGATTTTTTTCATTACTGATCAGAATTCGCAGTTATAAATTTAAACCAATGACCACATACTTTGTTTGGACGTGTATTTATAAGCAGAGCCTATAAATTGAGCCTATGATAAGGGGTTAATGAAGCTTTTAATAAGGGAGTCATTTCAATACAGGCAATAAGGATTGTACTGTAGTTAAATGGTTATAAAATGAAAAATATGTTGATTTTCAATTTATAGGAAATTGTCGTAATACAATAAGTTGCTTTGGCAAGTGTCTACATACTTAAAGGTTGGGTATAATTTTTATCAGTGTACCACTGAAAGATTTTAATGTAATATTAAATTGTATAATCTAGTGGAGGATTGAAAGTCCTGGTCAAAGGCAATGGTGTAATGTAATATAAAATTGTATAATCTAGTGGAGGATTGAAAGTCCTGGTCAGAGGCAATGGTTTCCTGCCCATTCAGAATTCCTCTCCTAAGATGGTCTTCTACAGCCCCGACCCACTCCGGAGTCCTTACTATGGAGTAAGTCACCGTACCTCTCAATGATTTATATATGTCAACACAATTAAATGAATAAGGATATTTTACTTTTGCCTTACTTGAAATATTGTCATATGATAAAACTATTGAATGAATTTTTTTAAAATTGTATGACTGACTGTTGATGCCAACAGAAAGGGACATTTTACTTCAACATGCTGTAACCATTTGGCATTTCTAAATTGTTCAATGAAACATATTGCCATATACATGAGTATTAGATAATAAAATTGGCATAGTAATTAGCCTGGAAACAATCTTGATACTAAATTAATTTTTGGATCAACTCTTGAAACACTACTTGTAGGAATGTCAAGTGCGTGATGATGTCACAATGGAATGCAGTACCCCACAAGTGGAGCCAGCATTGATCACAAAGAAACCTAATTCACAAGACCAGCAGGGCTTGGCTTTTGGATTCATCATTGACAATGTCCAAAATATACGCAATTTCAGTGCCTCCCACAATGAATTCTTTCAAATTTGCCCTGACCCGGATATCAGTGTTTTTCCTAATGACAAAATTAAGTCATTCCAGTGGAAGAGCAATGAATTTTTAACAATAAGTGTAAGTTACCTAAATATGAATTAAGGCAAACTATTACATAAAAGAAAATTGTACATATGTCATGTACACACTTGTCTGTTGTATGTTATTTATGCTCCTGCAAATGGACATGTTTGATTTCTGAACATGATTTTGTCCTGTCAGTGTCCTTCTGGGTGCAAAAACATTTTTATTGAACCTTTGAAAAATGCCCTTTCAAATGTCTAAATTTGATATGTAAATTTTTATAAATAATTGATTGACTACATAAACATTATATCAATGTGTATAACAAAATTTCTACAAATCATTTATAATCACATTATTACTATGTACAACTACTCTTCACCTCCCAGCTTGACCACAATTTTAATACCTTACAAATATTTTACAGGGAATTAACTTGGATCAACTTCGGCTGGAGAAGGATGATGTTGTGATAAAGATAGGCAAAAGTGAATGTAATATAACATCCACTGGTAGACAACTAACCTGTCGTCCCCCGAAGACTCGCCCCTCCCCAATGAAGGGCGGCCAGTACCCCGAGGTGGAGGTAAGACAAGAACCTCAGCTACCTCTGCACACCAGTCTCCATCTCTAACAGTTAGAAATTTGCCACTGACTCACCTATTAATCATCTTTTGCAACTTTCAGATTGATATTCTGTTATATTAAGTTCATACATTTTAGCATGCTTTCTTATTGGTTGGTTTGATATTGTGTCAATGTATAGAAATTTGAATAGACTTAAGTCTTTATTAGCTTTAATCATAAAAAATGGGGACCAAAAGATAAACCAGTACCAAAATTCCTACTGGTTGTCCCTCCACCCCTTTTGTTGTAGCATGGTTAAATCAAAGTGAGATTTAGTAATGTATCAATAAAATTTGGTTCTAAAAAGAAGTTAGAAACTTAACTTAAATTGATTTTAATTTTAGGTTACAATTGGGAAAAACCTGACCTTCTTTGTGGGTTACCTGAAGTATGAGGAAACAGATTTGGCTTTACCCCTGGAGTACATTATTCTGATCAGTGTGGGGGGCGGGGTCCTCATTATCTCCGTCATCGTCGTCATCATCATGTACAGAATGAAAAGCAAGAAGAACAACAGCATGATGAGGAAGATGCAGATACAAATGGACAACCTGGAGTCTAAAGTCGCCAAGGAGTGTAAGGAAGGTAGGACACAGCTTTATATTGGAACTTCTCACTGGAAATCAGCTGTCCAACTGTATATATACTGGAATCACCAGATCTCTAGCCAAGTTTTTATAATATACTCTTTAATACCTGCCTATTGAGTCATTTTAAAGTCTGGATGGCTCATCATTTTAAACTTACTTCTAAAAGCAATGAGTTTCATCATTGACATTAAATAAAAACTAAGAACCTTTGATTTTTCAATAGGATACAAGTCTATATATTCTCATAATATAGTAAATTGGTATGTTTTTAAATAAATTAGGTAAGTAGATGACTTTTTCCCATGTGAAATCTAGATTCTGTTTCTGATGCCCATCTTCAGTTGAGTTCATGAGAAATTTATTCATATGACGAGTAGTCTTGATAACATTTAGTGGATTCCAATTTAATGCACTTGCCATGATTACACATCAATACAGTGAGGATTTTTAGCTCACCTCGACAAAGTCGAAATTAGGTTATGCTATACCCGCGGCATTAGATATGCGGCATTATCATCGGTATCCAGGTTAAAGTTTTAGGAGCAAATCCCTTCCCAAGTAAGTTGAAGTAACTATAAGCCCTGCCTGGAGCAAACTTGTGTTGATGATGCATCTAGGGATGGACACTACCAGACTTGCTTGGGATGCTGATTTGTATTACTAATACTGATAATGTTTGTGGAGGTGAGCCTTGTTTGATGTCCTATGTTTTACATTTCAGCCTTTGTGGTGCTGCAGACAGACATAGATCAGCTGATGAATGACTATATGTCGGGTAACAATGCCATTCCTTTCTGGGACTATCGCTCCTACTGTATGAGGGTTTTGTTTCCCCAGGATGGGGACACCAATCATCCTGTCATCAAAGATCTGGAGGTAAAACAACAGTAGCCAATCAGCAGTCACAAATAGTAGCCAATCAGCAGTCACAAACAGTACATGTATCCCCTCAGCAGTCACAAATAGTAGCCAATCAGCAGTCACAAACAGTACATGTATCCCCTCAGCAGTCACAAATAGTAGCCAATCAGCAGTCACAAAACAGTACATGTATCCCCTCAGCAGTTACAAATATGATCTGTACAAGGTCCAGCCCTCATGCAGTGTTTAAAACATTTTTTTCTTTGATTAGTTAAAAATTTTCGGGAAGTTTCCAGTATGCCGGTCCCCAGAATCACGCGATTGCGCATGAGCAGTTATTTCCCTTGCCATTGCTATGCAGAATGTAAACAAACCGCAATTTCCCACTCGCTTCAACAAAACGCATCCGATCGAGTGATTAGGGTTAGGTTATATAGGCCTAGTTTTCAAAATTGGGGTTGTTTTATAAATCCACTCTGTAGGCTAATCTTTCTGACTTTGGGCTAATTTATGTAATTTTTGCTTACAAAAGGCACTATGAGCCGATATCTTACACTTTGGTTTAGTTCATGAAATTTATGCTTTACAAAGAACAGGAAAGTTTAAGAAATGAAAGTTCGGGTAAATCAACTCTATTGTCGAAACATGACGATTTTCAGCGCTGAGTTTAGGCAAGTTATTGTAAAAGCAACTTACTGTTAACTGCAGTTCGATATCCTTAACTCCTAATCATGTCCAAATATTCAGAATATATTTCCTTTCAAATCGATAATGATGCACAATTCAATCCATCGATGATTAGTAATTAGCTAACATTTGTTAAATCCCAGTATTTCTCACAAAAATCACGCAATTTTAATAGCATTGCACTTTGAGTCCTATCAGGCATTTCTTCATTACGTCAAAACACAAGTGACGCATCTCATGAATATTTATGAGATTACGTCAAAAATTGATCATGTGACTACATTCCTAAACAACGCAAGACGGAGATTTATTTCCTAAACAAGTACGTTATTTTACGAAATCTTTTAATTCTCATTTAAAAAACTGTGTTTAAAAACCAATTTTTCACAAGGAAAACATCTATTTTTTCATATTTTGATTAGTCAAAAATTTTCAATTTATTAAGGCTTAGATCTGTGGGATTAGGTGCTCTATAGTGATCAGTTTATCTGGCTGATTTCATTTGTCTGGTTTTCATTTCTCTGCCCTGGTTCAGTTCAGTTAATTTTTACCTTAAGATTATACATAGGTAGAGAATATGCAGTGACCTTGAACCAATGAACCAATTTACTAGATCAAAGATTAGATTGAGTGAAGGCTCTCTATCAGGATTTCTCTCTCCTTAGCCCAGGTGGGCTCAGTCTTCTCACATAGAGTGCCCATGGGTAGGAGAATTTGCAGTGACCTTAAACCAATTTTTTCTGGAGCATATTTTCTCTCCCCCTTCTTGATTGCTCAAACTTCACTCAGAGATTGCCTTTGGGTAGAGAGTGTGCAGTGTCCTTGAGCAAAGTTTCTAGGTTTGTGGTCAAGGATATTGCATATCTCTTAAAGAGAAAAAATCTAGAATTAATTTTTACATATTTAGCTTTATCTTGCTCAAACTTCATTTAAAGAGAACTCATGGATAAAAAGATCTGTGATCTTAATGGGCTTTGGTAAAAATGTTGACATTTGAGATGGTCATCATCTCAACATCATGTCTTGTTTTATTGAAGTTGATGATTTTAAACTTTAAAGTTAATTTCTTGAAAAAGTAATATTTTAAAGATTTTAAAAATCGTCTGCTGAATATATTTGATACATTAGCTAAAATAGGCTGTATTATTATAGTAGAATATTTATAGAATTTGTTAGGTTTTTTCTGTCTTATATTGAGTCCTGCTTCATGGTATGAACAGAGCTTGTCCTGCACTCTTTGGCAAGTTGTACGTAAGGGTGCTGCACTTCACATTTTGGGGTTGTCTTAATTTATAAAATTAAACTTTTTTGTTTGTTAATACATAATAAAGAATTTTTATATGATACATTGTAAATACTTTTTACATATTAGTAGTATTGTTTATATATAATATTTGTTTTGTGTTAATCTAAACCTTTTCATCTCAATAGTTCGTTAGCTCAGCAAAATGAGCAATGTATGGAGAAAGGTCTCAAGTTGCTATAATTTTCTAATGTGAAACTAACCAATAAGACATTTCTAAAATTTGCTGATTTTTGTGAGGACTTTAGAAAAGACACAATTCCGCAGTTTAAGTAATGGAGCGCTCAAACAAAAGAATGACGTCACAGGTGGATTTTACCCAGGGTGCTGCACTTCACATTTTGGGGCTGTCTATATAAAGTTAAATGGAATATGCCACAGCTTTATGTAGTGTGTCAAATTTGTTTTGTGTTAATACATATACAATGGAGAAAGGAGAAGTTGTTTTCTCAGCTGATCAGCAATAAGACATTTTTGCTGATTTTTGTATAACACAAGCAGTTTAAAATTAACACCCAGGCTTCACACAGTAGCCCTGCAGACAAAAATGGAATATGCCACAGAGTAAGTGTGTCGATTAATACATATGGAAGGAGAGGTATGAATAAAGAATTGGTCTATTGTATAACAAAGAGTAAAATTAACACCCAGGTCACACAGTGACCATTGGTTTTCCAGTTTTGTTTTGTTTTTGCTTTATCCCTTTCTGAATGTATGTTGATTTGAACATCTCTATAATCAGAAAAGGTGACCTTAGAAGTGAAGGCTGAGTGAAAATATCTTTAACAACCTTGTGTTTCATGTTCTCTACGACTTCATTTAGTACATTTACACATGTTTAATGTCTTAATGTCCTGCTTACAATTATTATGTTAAAATGCCATTTGGATCTTTATTATCACATTTGAAGAATATTGATTATTCAATCATAAAAGGTTGGAATGAACAACAAATCACAGTCTGTACTGTTTCTTTTTTCAGTATCCTCAAAACCTTGTTAGCAGAACTGATAGAGAAGTCTGTTGATGGCAAAAATCACCCCAAGCTGTTGTTAAGAAGGTTAGAAACTGTCACCTACACCCAAACTTTGACACACCAATGGCTGTTGTATTTTGTTTGTAAACTTTGACTTCAAAGCTAGCATTCAGGGAAGAATGTATGCTACATGCTATAGCAAGATATATTGCATACAGAATACTGTAAACCAACTTTTATTTGCGACAACTTTATTCCACGATTTACCAGGGGTAAACTAGTTCACAACGATTAATTTTCGCGATAAAGCCGATTTTGGATCTGTTATTAATGGACACAGAGACTTTAAGGACCGGTTCACGATGACAAGGCTTTCGCGAACTTTGTGAAAATTTCTCGCACGCAAATAAAAGTAGGTTTACAGTATTGGAAAATCTTTAAATTATGAATTGATATTTCTTTACTTAAAGGTAGAGAGAGGGAGAGAGAGAGTACAATTTGTGCAGCTTAATAAATATGATATAATCATTTAAATCATTGTCCCATAAGCACCTTATAGTATTTAACAAATAACAAACAAATGCACAGCATTTTTGTAATTTTTATAAATATCTGTAAATATGAAGGATGATTAAAGAATCCTAATTGTGTCTAATGTGTTAGGTCCTTCAGTGTTCTTTATATCCCACTAATTACACTGTGTAACACAATTACAGGACAGAATCTGTGGCTGAGAAAATGTTGACAAACTGGTTCACCTTCTTACTGTACAAATTCTTGAAGGTAATATTAAAGTCGTTTGTTCATTGTTGAGAATATTCATATTACAATAGAGAAAGAACTGTAGCATATATAATGGAACATGTGGGAAAAAAATGTTGACAAGCCAGTTTTATGACAGGATTGTGCCGGAGAGCCCTTATTTTTACTGTACCAAGCCATGAAAAAACAAGTGTCTAAGGGACCAGTGGACATGGTTACCAGTGAAGCTAGATTCTCATTGAGTGAGGATAAACTAATTCGTCAACAGTTGGATTACAGACAAATGGTAAGTGATACAATCTGTGAGGGGTTATACTCAAAATGATCTGATTACATTTTTTAGAATGAATTTATTGTGTTGCAGGAGATCTTTGTAACTGATCTGCATGAGTTTGCCTCGCCGATTCCAGTGCGAGTTCTGGATTGTGACACCATTACCCAGGTGAAGGAGAAGATTCTGGATGTACTGTATAAACATGTTCCCTACAGCAGTCGACCAGTCAAAGAAGAGGTAAATCATGTTATTCGCAAGAACTTTATTTTCGGGTAAAAAATACGAAAATTTCATTCTCGCATTTAATTGTATTCCTTAAGATTATATAGAGCAATGACCATAATTCGTGAAAACGCTAATGGCTTTTCGTGAAAATAAGGTGTCGAAAATAAGTGATCAGTAATCAAATCACAGACAAACTCTCTCAAACCAGAGGGACAAACATTTAAAAACATGTACGTCATCAAACTCTCTTCAAACCAGTGGTTTGAATGACAAAATTCTTGTGCAAATCACAGACAAACTCTTTTCAGCTTTGTTCACAGACACACAAACTGGCAGTTATTATTCCGTTTAAAATGTACATCTCTCTGAAATAAATAGATCTCTCTATAAATGTTGTCTATAAGACTAAGTGAAAAATATAGACAAACACTAATAGCAAGGTTTTATTTGTAGATGTATATGTAAACACTGACATTCAAGGGTTTATGGACAGATTTAGACACAAAGAGTTATAGACATGCTGTCAAGACTATTGATTGTTATAGACACTAATAGCTAAGGTTCTTTTTGATAGGTAGATATATATACTTTAAGTCAAGACTGTCTTGATATGTAGGCAAGTCTGAATTTGTTGAGTTAAAGAGTTTGTTAGGATTATGAGTGTAAGAGTATAGACATCATGCTTGGAGGATAATGAAGTTTGTCTTTCATATTGATAATAATACAAAGGTATGCAGCACTGTCAAATAGGGGCGATGATATTGTTTAATTACTAACATAACTCTGTGATTTAATTAAAACCTGCATATTTTGACTGGAATATTGGGATCATTTCTCTGTTACTGAATTTGTTCAATTTAAGATAAAGTCACACAATCACGAAGCTGGTTAATCTTATTTATAATTTTTGATAAACACAAGAAACACCATATGTATTTTTTTCAATAGCAAGTTAAATTAGTAAGCAAGCATCCCAGCCTGAATAAAGCTCCATTTGACATCAGAAATATAAAAATTTCATGTTTGTGTTTTGCAAGCATGATTTAGAAAAAAAAAAAAAGATAAAATGTGCAAGGTTTCAGTATTTTGAATTCCTGTATATTGTGTAATAGGTGTTTGTATTCTCTTTCTCACATTTAGTAGTCAAATTTTGGGGATTGATTTAGAGTTCCATAGTGAGTTTTTCTTAATGCTTACTAGTGCATTAAAATAATATAAAAATTAAAAAAACAAAAAACAAAAAATAAAATAGCTAAATAGCTTCAAGATGCCCTAAATGTAGATTACGCCTTGATTAAGATCCTTAGTAGTTTACTCCTGTGTGGTTTGGCTATTCATCTAACTGTCATCTTCATTATCATCGTCCTCATTTACACGTCATCATCGCCATCATCCAAGCAAGGTCTCTATCAGTGAGAGTGGGTTAACATTCTGTTATTGGTTCCAGTTTTGTATGATAAATCTGCTCATACCACAGAGTGGGCCAA